AACCAAATGATTTATATTTTGAAATAGAGGAGTAAACACTTGTGGCAAAAGTCAGACAAACTCACAAAAAATAATCAAAATTTTCAATAGCTGAGTGGTGTCACCATGACTTTGAACAGGAAGCACAGGTTAATTAAGTTCATAATATATCTTATATGTCCACGCTATTAATGACTCAGGCCACTGGAACTGAAGCTTGTAAAAATCAAGAGCATTAGCTGGATGAAATGAAACAATTAAAAATCAACAGCAAACTCCGGCCCCCAGGCATTAGAGCAAAAGATGGGTTCCGGCCTCCAGGCATTAGAGCAAAAGATGGGCTCCGACATGGTGCGGGCCGAATGTACTGAAACTGATATCTAATAATTCATGAGGTTGGGTTTCATCCCTTTCATGGGCCCTTAGTCCACTGCTAGAACTGCGTTTAGTCTCTCAACCTTCACGAAACCTCTCCATCTGGAATTTTGTGAATTTCGCATGCAGTTGTTATTTCTTTTATTTTAAAATAACAGATATTTTTTATTTTATTTTAAAATTAAAAATTTAGAAACAATTTATATTTATATTTATTTTATTTTAAAAAATAAAAATAAAGAGATATTTTTTATGATATAATGAATAATTAAAATTAAAAGATAATCATAAAATTTAATAAAAAAACATTTATCTTCTTCAAAAATTTGAAAAAAATATTATTATTTTGAAAAAAATTTCTAAACCCAAAAATATTTATTATTTTGGATGGAGGGAGTACAACCTAAACGAGCTTCCTTGACTTACAAGATGCAAAGAGATGAGAATGCATTAGATTTGACAACCCAAAATAAAATTCCCACTTTCATTTTTTTCACCTACCCTATCCATCCATGGGTCAAGGCAACTCAAATTCAGCTACTTCCATTGAAAGGTAATTAGGTCGTTGGCATACTAAAATATATTTTAAAAAGGCAAAAGGTGCTAAAAATGATAATTACATTTAAACTCAAGCTTGATATTCTCAAATCTCAATTTCTAGTTGTAAGCTGGAGTATATTAGTACTCAAGCTAGCAATTTTTAAGGTTACAACTTGCAAGAGCCAAACCAGACACAACTTTATTCCTATAATATATCAAATTAACTTCAATCCCAAGACAATTCTTGTTACTATATTATTAAGATTCAGTAGCTAACTCGAAGATTCTCTTCTCAGTTAGCCTTGAAATTTCCTAGTCACACCCACCGGCACCAAATCCCACTCTTTCCCCGGCGCCATCATACACCACTTGCAATGTTTTCTGCTGCACATTCCCGAAAATACCCACTTCGGAGTCATCACCGTTTCCGGCGAACGCCAGGCACACTTGTGACGCATCTTTGCCGGCGTACATGATTCCGCTCTTGTCGAGATCCACCTTCACACCGCCGCCAAAGAACATGCTTATCTTGGGTATGCTAACGGTAGTGTAATTGCTGAAGTCGTAACACGTGTCAAGAATGCTTAGTGCCTGTGTCATCGGGTACTGGGACATTGCTTGACGGAAGGCGGTCTTGAGAGCGGAGTATGCCGTGGGTGGAAGCCGCGTGATGACTGTTCCGGAGTCGATTATGGTTCGAGCATTGGTGAACAGCGACGACGAGATGGGTAATTTATTACCGCCGACGCTAATCCCGGATATGTCAAGGCCGTAGAAGGATGGTGCCCGGGGAAACGTGACTAAGGGGGTGAATTGCACGGAATTGGAGATGTCACTGTTGCCAAAGGTGAGGTACCCGGTGGAGCTGGCGGAGGACGGTAGGCAATAGGAGAAGATTTTGTTGTATTTCTGGGCCGTTTGGGATGGGAAGGATAATTTGTCACGGCCCAGCCCAAGCAACCCGGCGGCGCCCCCAAAAAGCCCACGGTTGTTTTGGCCGCATCCGAACGGAATGTCGTTGAAAACATCCGTCGACGTCAAGGTTAGGCTTTCTTTTCCAAAGAAGCCGGCGGAGTAAGACGAATCGCCGTATTGGATTGCGTAGACACAGGTTGAAGACACACAGCGTCCTGCATTCCCTGAAACAAAAAGAATTCATGAGCATAAATTACTGGTTGACCCGAATTCTGAATTGAAATTTTTACTTTTGCTCCTCAATCTTTATAGTTTTTTGTAAACCTATCCTCAACGTTTAAATCGCGCAAATAGGTGGCTTCTACAACTTATAATTTTGTGATAGGAAATTTAAAAGGCGATAATGTTATTGTTGTTGCAATATCATATAAAAATATAAATTTATTATTATAATATTTTATAAATTAGTATATAAAATATTATATAAATTTTAAGTAAAAAATTTTGACAAATATAATTTAAAAAAATAATATCAATTCTGATTCTTAAAAAATTAAAATTTTAATGTTAAATTATGTTATTTTATTTAATTTAAAATTTAAAAATTTATTTTATTAAATATTAATATTTAGATTTAAAATTTGATTAAATTTTTAAATTTTAAATTATGATTTTAATTTTTAAATATAAATTATGACTAATTTTTTTAAAAAATTAAGAGTAATACATACTATTTTCGTAATTTTAATTATAAATTTATAATGGTCTCAATTATGACTACCAAAGATACTGTTAAGTCATTAATATTTTATTTTTTATTTTATTAAATTATGTTTTTTCACTCAATTTAAGAAAAGTTACGTATCTTTTTAACTTAAAAATCTCACTTTATGTCCATCAATGATTAATCTAGTAGAAATTCCTTAAAAGGGGTGGTGCTTAGGACATAAAAGTTCTAATTTGAAACCAGGTACTTACTCCTTCACCCCCAATCCCTCACCCCCAAGTTTCTCCAGTTTAAAAAAAAAAAAAAAAATCTTATTTTATAATACAAATTATATTAAATTATAAAAAAATTATTAAATAAAAAAACCTCCAATATCAAAAGCTACTTCTCATTTTATAATTAATATAATATAATCTAAAATAATTTAAATTACATTACACTTTTTCAATTTAAGTGTGGCTTCATTGCTTTTACTTCCTATTAAGTGCATAAACAAATAATTTACTAAAGCAAAAAAATAAAATATTAATGTCCTTAATAATAACTATAACCTGGTGGCTGTTTATAATAATTATATCACTTTTAAAATTTAAAATTACCAGTCGCAGACGACAGAGAACTGCAAGTCGGAGAGTTGCAGGAAATGTTGAGATATGATTTAGATTTGGAAGGATCGAATATGGATTCCTTCTGTGCATAGCAGTATCGAATGCAAGGTTGGCATTGAGTCCAAGTGATGTCGCTTCCGGTGTCGAATATGAGAGATAGATCTGTCTTCGGGTTTCCGATACCCACAGTAACGACGTAATTTCCCGACCCCACTACACTCCCGTCCTTGGCTGGAATTTTGGTAGCGTCTGTCTCCTTCACGTCGCTGGAGGTCTTAGCGAGTCTTGAGTGGATTGAATTTACTCGACCCTGGTCCTGGAGGAGGGCGTCGGCATGGGTCGCAGGATTTGATTCTTGCTGATGGAGTTGAGAGCATGGCCCATACTTGTGCACTACTTTCAGAGATGATAACCTCTCGTCGGCAACTGAAATGGAAATGTACAGAAATGAATATTTATGGAAATTTGTATGTTAAATTGAAATATTAAATCCCATTGTTAAGTTAATTTTAATAAAATAACAAAATACAGTATGTTAATTTTTTTAATTATATAAACAATTGATTAATTAAAGAAAGTTATGAAAATTTTGCAATTTAAAATCTAATTACCTAAGGATTAGTATTATTATTATTAGATTTTTTTCAGTTTAAAGTGCATGAGTTGTGAAAGTATAATTTAAAATTCAATAAAAGTAATTTAATATTTTCATAATTTAAATTATACAGTCCAAAATATATGTAAAAAAACCTCAGTTTCTTATTATTTTAGCTAGTAATAAAGAGAATATTATTTGACACTTCATTTTTAATAAATTTTGCCAATTTAGATTCAAGTTGCTAATTAATTCGTAATTATTTTTATGGTGTTATATGTTATGGCTACGAAAAATTGACTTGCTAATAAAGCTCCAATTAGTTGAATTTTTCAATGGGTTGGTGATGACTTATCTATTTTGGTACTATGAAGGACAAAAAGTAATGGGAGAGTGGACTAGATTCCAAAAAAATTGGGTGCTTTTTCTTTAGTGTATGAATAATGATTTATCATAACCTTTTTCCTTTCAAAATGGAAAAAGAAACAAAAAAAAAAAAAAAACCCACAATCACTCATGAATTAGGGATGGATTGAGAACTCCATGAAAATGGCTATATTAAGCTTTATCAACAATCATTACAAGACCTCACGACCTCAAGAAAAAAAAATGAAGAGCAATAGGATTATAAAAAAAATCTTATTTAAATCCTTGATTATTGTAGTACTAATAGACATAAAAAAGGGAATAAAGCACTTAAAGAACTGAGAAGCAAAGAAAAGGGAATTAACCTTTGGAAGAACTGCAAACAGATGAAGGAAGAAGAGAGCTGACTTGGAGAGTATGGTGGTGGCTATCGGCTGTTAATTCTCGCTGCTCAAAGGTGGGGAGAACGCATAGGAGAAGTAGAGAAGCAAAGAGGAAGATGGAGGAAATGGTGGTGGTCATTATACCAGCAGCCTGCCCTTCTTTTGGTTTTTTCTGCTACTCATAAACCCACAAGCTGAAAGAATGCACTATATATAAGCTATCGAGAGTCAAGACAATCATATACATAATTGATTACTAATGCTTGCATTACACGTCATCCATGATAACAAACCTTACTATCTCATTAAGATAAATCTTTATGTGATTGATCCTAGTCATGAGCTCGGTACAAAACACGAATCATGTCTGGCCACGTATACCCATCAAGGATAGGATTTTCATTAAAAAGAAGATACATATCATAAACAACTATTATCATTCTGCATCATGAGACCAAATCATTAGAAGCTTCATTAGTGGAACAATATGAGCACTGGGAATTATGAAATGTGAATCCAGTTTGGGACTTAAAGGCCCTTTGCGGCAAAGTTACAGCCAAAAGAGATATGCCAAAAGAAAATAGTGATAAAAAGAATTGAAGATTATGAGGTTGCAATGACTAGGAAGCAGGCATTATTGTTGTATTTCACAAGCAAAAACAAAAAATAAATCAGTGTTCTTGTTGTATTTGAGATCATGTATCCAAATTAATCAAGCTTCGGGGTGAATATCATCATGAATATTCAATGCAAAGAGTTCTGTCTAATACCCTTTTTTTCTTTAAACCACACCTAAATCAACTAATCTATGGTCTAAAGACACTATAAACTAATAATTAGTTGGAATAAACTTTGATTTCTTATTATGAATCTTGTTTTAAAACTACCTGTATATAGAAAGGAATGGGTTGATATATAGCATCTAGATACATAGAATAAAGTAGTGACTGGCTGGCTTCCAATAAGAATTGGAAGCATTACTAGATGTTAAGTCGGGAAATGGTCAATTTGCAATACCAAGCAAATAATTGAGGAGTCCACGCAAGACCCCAGAAACCCTAAATTAATTATACCTGAGAGTTCTGCTTAACCAAATATGCGATAACGTTGAATAAGAAAATGATAATTCCTGCAATATCGATGAGTCAGTTACACAAGCTAGACTTCAAAACCTCATATTTCTGGCTACATGATAACCCCCATAAATCTTCAAATAATATACATGTAAATAGCACTGTCTTTGCCAACCAAAACAAAAATACAGGACACCAATCAATGACTTTCCCATTGAGAACTTTTTTGTGCCTACCTTCTCAATCATGTTTGGAATCTTGTGGGAGTTGTGGGGTATTGCGTACTACTAGTGGTTAATAGATCAGTTAGAATCTTTGAGAGAGAGAGAGAGAGAGAGGGTTATTTGGGGATTAGAATCCTCTGTTTGAGTGACTTTAAGCAAGCCAACACGGTTGTGGTGGATGGTGGATGAAAGCTGGAATCTAACTTGTCCCTATTGAGAAAGAGACTGAAGGGTGTTGATGGCTCATCATCTTACAGTAAATGTTAAGCATTTCTTAATTTTAATTTGGGGCTAATTTTCTTTCTATATTTCTTAATTTCATATTTGAATACTTTGATAATGAATTGAGAAAAAAAAAGATGGACCTAAAGGAGTTAGGTATGATATCAATTCATCTAGAATGCTAATCAACAAATAAAAGGAAGTGAAATTGGTACACACACAACCTTATCTTAAAAGGAGATATTTACAATAGTCACATGACATGAAATAAGTGGATGCATACATGCTGCTAAATGAAATTAGCCAAACATAATTACTGTAACAGTAGGACTATTTCTAAAAACCATTCTTTGTCAATTATTTTCATTCTTAAATTGAATAGTTTTCATGTTTTGGCTAGTTATACTTTTCTACTTGATTGGGGATTGAGATGATTGGTTCTAGGGGAAACAAGCAAAAACTTTCCCTTATGGCAGCTTAAAGTTCTAAAATTTCTTTATAATTGATTGGAAGTCCACCGAGAAATCAATCCTTTAAAGTCGGCAGACTTTTTAGATACTTCTTCAAGTTTACATGTCCAGATCTGTTGTATTTGCAAAAGAAGTATCGTGGCAATTACATTTTTTACTTGTATTACTGTCATCAACTCAAATTCCATTCACATAGAGACACAAGATGAAGACTCAGAAGAAATAACCAAAAATAATAGGGCCAAATCATAACCAACATGAGTTTAGTCTAATTAGTATCCTCTACCACTAATTATAAAACTTTAACCAAAGTCAAGATCAGGGGTTCAAAAAAAAAAAATGTAGTGATTCCTAACCTCCAATGTAGCTAAAGAAAAAGAATCTTGTATCAAGTATGGGAAAAATTTTGCTTGGTTTTTTCGAAATCAGTCCTCATAAAATGTATAGGAGTTCATAATTAACTGAGACAAGACCACCAGAAGGATTGAAAAGATGAAAAGAATGTTCATGTAATGTCCATCTCCTGCCAAGTTTAACAGAAAGCCATCGGCAAACATATTGCGGAGTTTTATTGAATATATGCCATTATAAGAATGTGAGGGAGTTCATAATTGACATGGTTTCAAGCTTGTTAACGTTGTAAATTCTTACTGACGTTTGAGTCCTCACTCCAGAAAGTAACCAAGATGCTCTCTCATCTCCTAAGAGTTGTGAGCACTGGGAATCAGCTAGTAAAACTAGGTCTTTCATGTCATCAAGCTGAAAAGGCACAGCTTATCTGTTCTTCCTCAACTGTATGATAACCCAGAACATTCCTTGTTTTGCCTTCATATTTGATTGATGCTGCAGATAGCACCCAGTTGCTTTGCAAGTTGTTTTTGTTAAACTCACCTATGAAACACAGTCGACAACATATTAATTTCAATTTACGACTTATAAATTAAGAGAGACCCCGGAATTGAACAAAGAATTCAGACTTTTCAGCAAAAAGTAACATCAGTTGGTGACTTAGCCGAAGGCTATAATCTTAAAACTTGTGAAAAAAGGCTAAATGTCTCTGTTCTTAAACAGAGGTCATTAGATCAATTTTTTATGCATTTTGGAAAAAGAGCTATCTTCTCTACTACTCTTTCTCCATAAGGTAAATAAAACTTCCAGTTTGTCAAAGCAACAAAGATGCTTAAAACACTGGATACAAAAAATAAGAAAAAAGGAAGAAAAGGATTTAAGATTCAGCTGATCCATGCTGATTGATTTCAAAAGAACAATCACCTGAAAATTGGACAAGAGACTCTTGCAATACTGGCACTTCCTCTGAGTAGAAATTCATCCACATTTCCATTTGTCCCTTGCATTTGCACTTCTCAAATGAAAAATAGTTAACACCTCTGAATACATTCATTATGACTGCATCAGGTTTGACCCCACGGAGAAGCATAACAAATAATGAGTATGAAAGTCCCACATTTGCATCGCATGGATTGTTTGGTTCATTGCAGCTGTAGTCTGTATCTTACAAAACATTTCTCACAAAGGGAAAAATCAGTTATCTGACCTGTAGTGCACATCATTCAAATCAAAGATGAATACTTAGAAGAAGGTAGACATTCTCTTCATTGTTTGGGAACCATCAAAAACTACCAGCACTTAGGAGTTTTAGATCACTATATTCATATGTACTATCAAAATCAAATGTCAAAAGATCTGCATATGAGTCGGAATCTAACCACTTGATTTCCTCCATCAATTACCCCAGTATTTGATATATCTCTTTGCAATGGGTATGGGATCGATCTTCAGCATTGAAAGCATGCACTTCATTCTTAATCTCTATCCAACTCCGACCAAGAACCTTTTTCACCCCCCTCTCCCTCATCAACCTCGTTACACTAGCTTTCTCATCCCATCTCCTAAGATGCCCATACATGTTAGAAAGTAGAACATAGGTGCAATGCTCCTCAAGCTCTAACTTTAATAGGTGGCTAGCTACCTGTGTAGCTAATTCAATGTTGCCACAAGCCTTACAAGCACCTAATAAAGTTTTCTACACCATTGCATCAGGTTAATGGCATCGATTCAATAAAGTCTTTTGCGTCATATAAACGCCCAGCTCTTCCAAACAGATCAACCACACAAGCATAATGTTCCAGATGAGGTGGAATCCCACGATTAGTTTCCATAGATTTTAGGATTTTTTGGCCTTCTTCTACAAGGCCAACATGGCTACATGCAATTAGAACCGCAACAAAGGTAATGTGATCTACCTTCACCTTTCTTTCCCTCATTAGAAAGAATAAGTTGAGCGCAACATTGCCCTGCCCATGTTGTGCATACCCAAAGATAATTGAGCTCCAAGTAATTGAGCTATCTTTTACGGTCACTTCAAAGGACTTTCGAGCATCTTCAATTATCCCACACTTGGAGTATATAAAGATCAAAGCACCAGCTACAAAGTCATTTTCCTCAAAGCCTGATTTAATTGCCAAAACATGAACCTAATGACCCAATTGAAGAGTTGCCAAATCAAAGCAAGATCTAAGAACAGCTGAAAAGGCATAGTGGTCAATTTCCACTGATGAAGATCTCATATGTCTAAGGAATTTCAACGCATCTTTGATTAACCTAATATGAGAGAAACCAATCAAGATGGAATTCCAAGATACCCGATCCTTTGACTCCATGGACTAAAAAATTTTAAAAACATCTTCCATGAACTTATTATGTGATTTGAGATACATTGATATCAATGCATTGGAGATTGGTATTGACTGTTCCAACCCCCTCTTTATCACCATTGCATGCAGCGGTTTTCCATGTTCTTTATGTGTTTTTTCAAAACAAGCACTTATGTTGCTGGTGCAGGTAGAGATGTCTGGTTCAAAGCCCATCTTTTGCATATAAAGGTAAAGTGCAAAGGCAAGTTTTCTTTCTCATGAGCCAGATAAGCAACTACCATGGAATTCTAAGTGACCAAGTCTCGTACGCCAACAACATTATCAAACACTTTTCTAGCATATCTTATTGAACTGCACCCTGAATATAAAGTTATTAATGCATTGCAAATAGTATTTTCAAATTCCAGACTGCATTTGAGAATTTTGCCATGAGCTTGCATTGTTGACATATGAAAGACAAAATCATCAAGTAGTGCGAGAAGCGGAGCAAACGTCCCATCATCTAGCCTCACCCCCTCTTTCTCCATACAATCTAAAAGCCAAAAAACAATGCCATGATCCCCTGCTTGTGAAAATCCAACAATCAATGCATTTCATGAGACAGAGTTAGGTTCCGATGTGCATTCAAACACCATATGTGCATCCTCAACTCTTTGACACTTGGCGTACATATCTGAAAGAGCACTCCCTGCATACACATTTTCCTCATAACTAGTCTTAACAACAATTGAATGCACCTGTTTGCCAAGATCAACTCTACATGCATAAGCCACACCCTTGAGTATGCTTTCAAAGGTATACCCATCAACATCAAACTCACATCTTTTCATAACTTTTAAAATCTTCCATGTAGTAACTAAGTTACCAGAATTCACATACCCAGCAATCAACGTGTTCCAAGATACAGTGTCTTTGTGGGGAATTTCATCGAACAGCTTGTGAGCAATGCCCAGTTCTTTGCATCTCCTATAGCCATTTAATATATTGTTTGCGGAATAAATGTCAACAAAGGTGCCCAATTTGACAGCGCAACAATGGGTTGTCAAAACCTTAAAAAATGCAGAAGCCAAATTTCCAACGAGTGAGTTCGGTGACCTCATTCACAAGTGAACAAACCAAACCCGAACTTATTCAATAGGAAAAATGGCACCGACAGTTGTATTCTTGATCAAGACCCACAATAGAGAGCTTAAAATTTGGTCAATGTGATCAAAACCATTTCTCAAAACATGTTAGTATAAAAGACTCGCAATTTATTCAAAATTCAAGAACTTTGAGTATTAGGGATAGCAGTTCATAACAGATGAGGTGAAGCAACTGGAACTAGGAAGATGAAAGTTACTTCGGCAAAAGTGAAAATGAAGGACATGAACTTTTTGAGATTTCACAATTAAACTTAAAGAAGGAGTGAAGGACCTAAGTGTAAAAGATTAAGAGTAT